GGAGCGGCGCGCGCCGGGTTGGACTGGTAAGCTCCTGCCTTTTTAGGGAGGTAGCTAGGTCTGCTCACCGGCCGCCCACGCAACGTGCAGGAGTTTCCGGGGAGATGGCCCATGACCCCTGGGGGCATAGGTTTAGTCCGGCGTGCTGACCTCTCTGTTAAGTCTAGGTCGGGTTGCGGCGTATTGTTTGGCCGAGGCCGGGCATGACCCTGGAAAGTGTGTCCGGCCGGAGTTAAGCGAGCGTGGTGGGTAAGTTGGTGCACCCCTGCAGGGAAGAACTAATCTATGCATAGCCTGTCCTACGGTAACGGACACTTGGAGTTGTATCCCGATCGATACAACTAGAACTGGATACTTGTGATGAGAACTGGATGGAGATGAGGATTTGATTGTGATGATAACTGGATAGTATGGCTCTGGGATTACTTTCTCGCAGGGAGTCGAGAAAGGATCTCTGGCCGAGGTTGATAACTTTACTACTACTTTACTTTATGCTACTCTACTCCCTCCTGTTGCTGCAAGGTGGTGGTTTCCAGAAGATGCTAGTCTTCGATAGGACTAGGCCTTCTCCCTATTCTGGCAATTCTGCAGCCCAGTCCACATATACAACCTTCCTTTGATAATGTTGCATATGTAGTGTAGATCCTTGCTTGCGAGTACTTTGGATGAGTACTCACGGTTGCTTTGCTTCCCCTTTTCCCCCTTCTTTCTTTTTCTGGTTGTTGCAACCAGATGATGGAGTCCAGGAGCCAGATGCCACCTTTGACGACTGCTGCTACCCCGAGGGTGCCTACTACCACGTGACGGACGCCGACGACCAGGAGTAGTTAGGAGGCTCCCAGGCAGGAGGCCTTGCCTTTTCGATCGTAGATGCTTTTGTGCTAGCCTTCTTAAGGCAAACTTGTCTAACTTAGGTCTGTGCTCAGATTTTGTTGCTTCCGCTGACTCTTGTGTTTTCGAGCTTATGTATTCGAGCCCTCGAGGCCCCTGGCTTGTAATATAAAGCTTGTATTATTTTAATTTGTGTCTAGAGTTGTGTTGTGATATCTTCCCGTGAGTCCTTGATCTTGATCGTACACATTTGCGTGTATGATTAGTGTACGATTGAATCGAGGGCGTCACACACTCCGATTGTCGGAGAGGTATCTCTAGGCCCTCTCGGTAATGCACATCACTATAAGCCTTGCAAGCAATGTAACTAATGAGTTAGTTACGAAATGATGCATTACGTAACGAGTAAAGAGACTTGCCGGTAACGAGATTGAACTAGGTATTGAGATACCGACGATCGAATCTCGGGCAAGTAACATACCGATGACAAAGGGAACAACGTATGTTGTTATGCGGTTTGATCGATAAAGATCTTCGTAGAATATGTAGGAGCCAATATGAGCATCCAGGTTCCGCTATTGGTTATTGACCAGAAATAGTTCTAGGTCATGTCTACATAGTTCTCGAACCCGTAGGGTCCACACGCTTAACGTTACGATGACAGATATATTATGAGTTTATAGTTTTTGATGCACCGAAGGTTGTTCAGAGTCCCGGATGTGATCACGGACATGACGAGGAGTCTCGAAATGGTCGAGACATAAAGATTGATATATTGGAAGCCTATATTTGGATATCGGAATCGTTCCGGGTGAAATCGGGATTTTACCGGAGTGTCGGGGGGTTACCGGACCCCCCCGGGGATTAATGGGCCTACATGGGCCCTAAGGGAGAAAGGAGGGCCGGCCAGGGCACGCCGAGCGCCCCCTCCCCCTAGTCCGAATAGGACAAGGAAGCGAGGGGCGGCGCCCCCCTTTCCTCTTTCTCCCTTCCCCCTTCCTTCTCCAACAAGGCAAGAGGGGGGAGTCCTACTCCCGGTGGGAGTAGGACTCCTCCAGGCGCACCCCTAGGGGCCGACCGCACCTCCCCCTCCATCCTTTATATACGGGGGCAGGGCGGCACCCCATGACACACAAGTTGATCTTCGTGATCGTTCCTTAGCCGTGTGCGGTGCCCCCTCCACCATATTCCACCTCGGTCATATCGTAGCGGTGCTTAGGCGAAGCCCTGCGTCGGTAGAACATCATCACCGTCACCACGTCGTCGTGCTGACAGAACTCTTCCCCGACACCCTGCTGGATCGGAGTCCGGGGATCGTCATCGAGCTGAACGTGTGCTGAACTCGAAGGTGCCGTACGTTCGGTACTTGGATCGGTCGGACCGTGAAGACGTACGACTACATCAACCGCGTTGGTCTAACGCTTCCGCTTTCGGTCTACGAGGGTACGTGGACAACACTCTCCCCTCTCGGTTCTATGCATCACCATGATCCTTGCGTGTGCGTAGGAATTTTTTTGAAATTACTACGTTCCCCAACATGAAGATGCTTTCTGGTTCCAACACCAATGGGCGCTAGCTCCAGCGTGTCCCTCACCGGTTGCAGCGGACGCTGATGCCGGTTCCAAGAACGTGCTTCTGGTCCGTATAAAAAAGCGATATTGGCAATTCCATCAAATGGTGACCGTGCTAGTAGCAATCACGGCGCCGGTTCCAACATTTTGATGGACGCCACCGTTTCACACCATGCGGGGTGTTGTAACCATGCCAGTGCCGGTTTGCTGCATCGCCGTCGTAGCTCTATTAGTGCTTGTTGCAACAAAAAACCAGCATCGACGTCACGCCACCGCGCCGTGGTTCACCCCCAAAAGTTGCAACCGCGTCGATTTGCTGCATCCTCCGCCGCAGCTCCGTTGGTGCTCGCTGTGCCCCCCTCATGGTGGTTAGCCCCCCAAGCTGCAATGCAGCTCCCGCTGGGCGTTGTTGTTGCGGCAACATGCGACAGAGGTTGTGGTGGGGAGAAAGAAAAAGTAGTGGTGGAAAATGGATGGGTGCTGCTCGCGAAGGAAAAGGTTGTTCGAAGCGGTGCATGGACCCACGTGGTGATTGCGGTCGCGGTGAGACCGTCCCAAATATTTTTCTTGTTTGTTTGTACAATTTTTTTCAGATTTTTCTAAAACCTAAAATGTTGAATTTTGGTTTTTTCAAAAAGGCTGAGTTCCAAGATGTCATACTCTGAATGAGGCTGCCCGTAATGGGAGTATCATAAGTAGTATCATGCATGCCAACTAGGAAAATTTGATGATGTGTCATAGAATTAAATGAAAGAGATGACTGAGTATCTAGCATAATCCGTATCATATTAAATGATGTGCTAGTATGTGTGATGCATGACAATAAATGAAGTTCTCTATATCACTAACGTATACAGTACTATGCACTACGAATGTAGTACTTCCTCTATTCCCTTATATAACGCCACAAACTCAAATTACAGGTATCAAAGTAAAATTTAATGACAACTTTGCAAGCCAACTTTTCTTTTTATTAACCGGGATCATTAATATGCCATCCACATGCAAAGAAGGAATAGGAAGGAAGTAGCTGGCTGCCATTATGACTATATGCATGTAAGTATTAAACAAGTTGCTAGTATGAAAAAAGATCATTAATTTTTGTCTCGATTATTGTTGACCGTCTTGTATAGATGCAAAATGTATTTTTGATAGTGACCTTGTATAAGGGAATGGAGGGAGTATCATACATATTCCCTTCGTTCGGATTTTTTTTTGCATGGTAATACGTGTCTCATTCATATCATAAAGAACAAAGTACAAGTCACGTAATAACCGACATGACAAAACTGAAAAGATAGCAGAACATCTCTGAGCTTGACACTAACGCCCGTCAACTGCCTCCGGCACCACCACAGCAGCCACCGAAAAAAAGAATGACGGATCACCTCCTCACCCGAGCTCAACGCGGCTTCATCGCTGATATGCAGCTTTGCGGACCTCCAAGGTGGCTCACCAAAAGTGAAGCCATTGCCGTTGAACGGATCAGGCCGGGGCAACACCCCGGACACGCCATCGAACTCCAGATCTGGCACCCCACCACGACTAAGACGCCGAAGGAGGAAACCATACCTGCCATCCACGAACCACGAACCCAACACATGTTCTGTCTTCCAGATGTCGTCGATGCAGACCACAATCTGCATCCGCTCCTGGACTACCTCCCAAGCTCCACGCCGACGCTGGAGCAAACGTCGTCGCAACGATGGAGCCCGAGGACACAGGTCCGCCACGAGGATGCCGCCGCCGCCACGCTATCCTTGCTTGAACAGACTGATTTCCAGACCCATCCCCAACCATAGGACCGATGGCCTCGTTAGGAAAGGATCCGAAGAATATTTATTCAGTGTCGTCATCGTCGCCGCCGAAGCAAAAACGATGAACAACCTAAAAACCTAGACTACGGATGAGTAAAAACGATCCACACGTGTGGATCCGGCGACCCCCCTCACCACCGACGACCGAAGTTGCCGGCGGAGGGGAGCCGCCGGAGAACGGCGTTGGAAGATCGGCCCCCGGCGGCGGCTAGGGTTGCAGCCGCCGGGTACGAGAGTACAGGAGGCGGTTGGAGGCGCAAGTTGGCACAAACCCCCTTCGTTCGGAATTACTCGCCGAAGAAATGAATGTATTTCAATGTATTTTAGTTGTAGATACGTTCATTTTTGTGACAAGTACTCCCTCCGTTCCTAAATATAAGTCTTTGTAGAGATTTCACTGTGAACCACATACAGATGTATATAGATGCATTTTGAGTGTAGATTTATTCATTTTGTTCCGTATGTAGTCCATAATGAAATATCTACAAAGACTTACATTTACAAACGGAAGAAGTACATTAGTATCGTATCCCCACCGCGACTAGCCTGAACTCTTTCTAGCTAAACAAATCAATTCCGTGTTCGTTATTTATATTCGTAGAGATACGAGGTGCAATTTGCAAAAAGGTAAAACTGGGTCACACCTTTTTCGCTTGTGCACGTCTTTCCATCGAAACCCTAGCGGACGAGCTCTCCATCTAGCTCTACCAATACGGCCCCGCCGCCTCGCTGAGCAGACTCCGAGCGGAGGCGAAGGCGAAGGCAGACGAAACCATCACCAATGGATCTGCAGATCGTGGGACGGCACGCGTTGCTCTTTGACGACGACGCGGCGGCGGAGGTCGTAAACTCCGGCGGCTCCCTCGTCCCCTGGTCCGCCGCCGGCGCGGCCGATCTCCTCCTTGACCGCCACGACGTCCGCCACCTTCTCGACCGCGTCCCTCCTCGTTCAAACCGCGCCTACTCCGTGGCCCTCCTCTCCACCCCCTCTCCCGACGGCGTGTCCGAGGCCGAGCTTGACCGCGAGCGCTTCCTCGACCTCACCGCCGACGTCGGCACCGGAGACGCGTCTCCTTCAGGTATAAACCCCTCTACCCTCTGTGCTTATTGTATATGACACTACTCTCTGGCGCCAACAACTCTTTTTACCATTTTTATGTAATTGGGCGCTGTTAGCGTAAGTCTGCGGACTTTTAGCATTCTGAGAGGGGTCTAGGGAAATGGAACCATCGTATCTTATAGAAGGTTGATGCCAAATAATGTTTTCTTTTCAAATGTCCCCATTTGCTATTTGCCTATGATGTCAGAAGAGAGTTGGTCTGTATGAGCTGAAGTTTGGGTGGCTTAGTTGGAGTAAATGTTGAATTTGATACGCTATGACACTGAGATGCTAAGAATGTAAAATAACTCGGTGGTCTCTTCCTATTGTTTGTCTTCAACAAAGTTATTATTGCATCTGTTGGGTTCCTATAGTAGCTGTACTGTCTACCACGTATATGAGCAACAGTAGTTGGTATAATTTTTTGCAGTTTTACCTAATGAAACTGGCACATGTGGCAAAGGTAGTGGTGCTAGTTGAACTCCTATTATATTTCTTGTCATATTTTTTTGTAAGTTTGCAGGAAGGATGCTTGATTTTATTTGATGAGCATCTTTAATCTGTTCAAAGTAAGGGGCCTTCTCTGATGTCTCCCGAGATGTATCTTTGGATCTGCATTTTTCTTCTCCACTCAATCTTAGTTTCTGTGTCTGGATTGTTATGTAACAATACCCAAACTGGCATCTTTTCTTTCTGCAGGAAACGGGACAGATACTGGGCAGGCCGGTTATAATGCCGTCGCTTTCTCATACGGGGGACCTGCTGGTTCTGATGATCCGAATGATTCAGTCTCTTCTTATCGCCCATCTTTTCCTGTGCCAGAAAGCCTGTTGAATAAGCTGGTGAGTGTGCAAAGCCTACTGTCTGCTCTCATCATATATGCATTCTGTCTTATTATTTTTCCACTTCATACATTGTTATTAATCTTCTTCAGTTGATCCAGCAATAATTGTCCAAGGTGCATATGTTCTTCTAAGGATTAAATGTCTATTTCAGATGGTTGGAGCAGAGATGAAGTTCCTACTAGTGATCCACATTGTTTCCTTACGATCTATCTTGACGTAAGGAATAGGCAGGTGGGATTAGAATGATGTAAATGGTACATATAATAAAAGAAGAGAATACTGCAACGGGATAGCTTTCTTAATTTTACTGTGCTGTACCAGTTCTGTACTACAGTTGTGTTTAAGTCATATGGTTGCGATTTCTGCTCTCATACCATTACTGAGACACTTTTCTTGTCATAATTTCTAATTTGCAGCCTCCCTCCGAGAAGGTGCATCAGATAATTGCAAGAACTGCTCTATTTGTCAGTGAGCATGGGGGACAATCAGAGATTGTGTTAAGGGTGAAGCAGGGAAATAATCCAACATTTGGGTTCTTGATGCCTGACCATCATCTCCACAGCTACTTCCGCTACATTGTTGATCATCCTCAGCTGTTGAAAGATGGCTCTGATGCTGACACCAATAAAGGCAACAAAATTGTTATGGGTGAGAGTGAGATTGCTGCCTCGTCAAGCGGAGCTTTATCATTGCTTGGGGCCGTCTATGAGTCTGGAGATGAGGATGAAGGCGTGCTTCCAGCTAGTTCAAAAGGCAAGGATCCTGGAAATGAAGCTTTGCATGACAATGCCCACAAAGGCTCATCATTCCTTGTACATGACAACGAAGTGAAAAAAGATCAGACAGTAACAATAGAAGCATCCACTTTAGTAAAGGATAAACCTATTTTCACCAAGAAGAACCCAACAATTGCTGGAAACAGCATTGTTGCTGCTCAGCGGGAGAAGGTTAAAGATGCCACGACAGTGTTAACCACTTCTACCAAGTCTGACAACTCTAAATTAGGTGTGTCTGACACAAAAGAAATGATACTGGAACCACCATCCTTTTTGAAGGGCACAATGGAGAAAATAGTCGAGTTTATTCTCAGGAACGGGAAGGAGTTTGAACAAAAGCTCATTGAGCAAGACAGGATGACAGGGAGGTTTCCATTTCTTCTGCCGTCTAATCCATATCACTCTTACTATCTCAAGATGCTTCAGGAAACCCAAGAGGTAATTTGGATCACACTCATCTTTTATTTTTTAGGACGTAATATTTGCATAACTTTCCCTTTCCTGACCTGTTCTATAGAAATCAATTTTTTTAGACATTTGTCAGATAGTTTAGTTGGGCTAAACATTTGCAACTTGTACTCCTTCCCTTCACACCCATATTTTGCGGAGTTCTATTTGACTAAACATTTGTCAGAATTCACACCATTAATCGGTTGTTTCATCATTCATGCTTTGTTTAAACGAGTGAGATGTGAACCAATGGGCATGTTTGCTTAAAAGTTGCAGCCGCCGCCAATGCTGTAATGAAATAAATATAAGCTTTGGTCTAACGTTCTTCAGTTTCTGAGGTTTATTTTTTGTTTCCTTTCTTCTGGATCACTCGCTTTTGTCCGGCTACTGCTGTGTCTTCCATTCTCTGTGACACACTGACACTTAAAGTTTGGACGTCTTGTAGAATGAGTATTAAGTTATTTACCCATGCTTGAACTTCTGATTACCTTTCATGCTAAAATTGCCTGTTTTTTTTCTTTCTTAAGTGCACATGATGTCTTACACTTGATCTCTGAACTTCAGGTAAGTTCATGTGGACACTATATCAATCCTGATGCACAATTTGTTCTTATTTATTCAATTCCAATCGGTACACAGATATTTTATTCAACTGTGTATATTATTTGATTGATGTCATGGTTTTCTTCTTAGTTTGGAAAGTTTTTTAAAATTCTGGTGCACTTCATTTCCTTACACATGTGTTTTCGTAAACTATAAGTTGCGTTGGTCTGATTGTTTCTTCTATATGTGCTGTTTTATGTTTTCTGTCGAATGTATACCATCATCGGGTTTTAGTGAATATTCATCTTATATGCTTATGGCCTGTTTATGCCAAGATTGCTTGTTTCCTTGGTCTTTACTTCCAAGTGCACATGATGTCTTACACTTGATCTCTGAACTTCAGGTAAGTTCTTATGTGGACACTATGAATCACTGATGCACTGCCTTTTTCCTCTTTGTTCATATTTCCAGCCAAGTACTGAAGTATTTGGTTTAACTGTATTGCATCACTACGTTTTCTAGCATTGCCTATAAGCATTGATATATGGTTTTCTTGTTATTTTTGAAGTTTAATACTGGAACTGTTTCTAAATTTCTAAGATACAAGACTTTGTTTGGATATCGTGTCTCGCACCAATGCAAATTGTAACCGCTCTTTACTGTGTTTCCTGAATTTGCTGTGCAGTCCAAGTCCCGTGGTGGTGCTTCAGAGCACAGAGACAGAAGGAGCTCTTCAGAGCGCCAAGACAGGAGGAGTTCTTCAGAGCGCAGAGACAGGAGGAGTTCAGAACGTAAAGACAGAAGGTCCATGGAGCGCAAAGATAGAAGTTCTTCAGACCTCCGAGACAGTGGCCACGACAAGGAAGTAACTAAAAGCAAGGGACGGGGAAGTGCTAACAAGGACTCAAGCACTTCTGATAGAACCTCCGCGGAACCATCACAGAAGCAGCTTTCTGACAAACAAGGGGAGGGGAAGTTCCAGTTGGTCACTGGTGGTGCCAAGAAGGAACTTCCTCGGACGGTCACTGCAGATGAAGCTGCTGCTATTGTTATGGCGGCTACTCGTGGACTGGGGCCTGCCAATCCTCAACCTAACACGCTAAAAGACACGGTTGACATTCGCCATATACAGGGCTCAGGTGCAGTGTCCAAACCTGCTTCAAATAGTGAGCCTGGCATATCAGTCACAAGTAGTGATCAGCTAAAGAAGGAAGGTATTGGAATTATCGATGATGATTGGATCACAAATACAATCGCAAAAGCAGTTGCTGTTGCCGCCTCTAAAGAGGCAGATTCTTCTGAAGCTTCCATGACAAATGAGCAGAAGCTGAAGGCTGAGAGGCTTCGGCGTGCAAAGATGTTCACTTCAATTATTAAGGGTGGTGGCAACAAGAATGATCTGGTGACACAGGAGATAAGTAATGAATCTGCAAGGGCCGCTCCTGCTAATTCGAACCTCCCCGTGCCTCCAGAACCTTTGGCTAGTGAACGGGAAGGTAGCTCTGTGCATTTTGAACGGGAAGGTAGCTCTCTGCGTTTTGAACGGGAAGGTAGCTCTGTGCGTTTCGAACGGGAAGGTTCGAATATGATCAAGCAGGAGAAAGACTCTGATGACGAGCAGAACAGGGCACGCAAGTACAGAAAGCATCATCCAGAATCCGATGAGGACAAACATGATTTGGAGGAGGGAAGTTATAAACACTCAAGGAAGAGGCATCGTTCGGAGCGTTCAAGAGGCCACAGTAAGGATGCACACAAACGTAAGCACAAGCATCACTCCAAGGAAAGGGAGTATAGGGATCATAGCTCTTCGGAAGATGAGCTACGCAGTTCCAAGTCAAGGCATCGACATAGGGACGATCATCACTACGCTGAAGATGACGAGCATAGGAGGCACCGGAGGAGCCATCGCTCTGGTTCCAAAAGGAAACACAAGGATGACGGAGATCTCAATGAGCAAACTCTTGGCCGCGCTGAAGCCTCCCAAAGCACGCCTGAGCACAGGCATGGATCAGAGCAGCCCCCTAGCGACACTGCTCAATCTTCGCAGGCGGCAACTCAGGTCCCAGATGAGCTGAAGGCGAAAATTAGGGCGATGCTATTAGAGACACTGTAATACATTGTGCGATGTGATGTAACACTGTACTATCATGTTCTTTTACATTCGGCGCCTTATTTGTTACAGTCCAGTTCCTTTATTTTGTTCAAGCATTTGTCTTGTTAAAATATCCCATTGTCTGGCACTGTTGTCTGCATTTATAGCGCCTACTTTCCGTCTGCTGGCGCATCCAGAAGCATTATAGCATAGCATGATTAGTGCGAACTTTTTTTTACCGTTTTCAAATGATAGTTCCTCAGTCCCAAAATGTAAGAGTATATTTTTTGACACTACGATAGTTTTGGGCCGGAGGGAGTATATCTTGCTTGAAGTGGTTATATATCTTTGACTCTAGCTGCGAAACAGTACCACTTTTCAGGATTGGAGGACATCAGGAGTAAAGTTAGATTACCAGTTGATGTGAATTTTAACTACTAGAGTTAGTTTCCTGAAGAAAATGTTGCACCGCAACATATTGTTTAGTATACATTCTAGGGAACTATACCTACCAAGGGAGTGTGGGTAGAGCCTCGTGATTTAGGGACTACCAGACATAGTTTCAAGTTGTTACGATCTCAAACGTAGTCTGCTTCTATCTGAACACCATATCCAGCGTGTTTGTTTTGTTCGTATGCTAACGGCACCAGATCGAATACTGATTTTGTTACAACCCGGCACTCGGTATTTATTTTGTGCGATCCTGCAATACAATACAATACCTGAAAAGCTTATTATTTTCCGTTTCAAAAAAAGAAAAGAAAAACGCTTATTATTTAAGCCATTGCTCGATTTGTTGCCAAAGTTTTGCTAGTACAATACCTGCGCTATCGCTAACAACAAGTCAAAACCCTACCAGCGTCCAGCCGTCCAGCGCTACGGCCTACGGGGCATGGTCATGGCGGCGGAACCGGAGGAGCACGACTTTGTCAGCCTCCTCCCGGACGAGATTCTAGGCACCATCATCTCCCTCCTACCCACGGACGACGGCGCGCGCACCACCGCCCTCTCCCGTCGCTGGCGCCACCTCTGGCGCTCCTCCCCGCTCAACCTCGACGACTGCGACATCGTCAGGAATAGGCGCTGGGATTACCTCCTCTCCTGCCCCTCCGACCGGCGCGGCCTCAACGTCAACCGCCTCCGCAAGAGTGAGCGCCAGCTTATCGCCGTCATCTCCAAGATCCTATCCAAGCACCAGGGCTCCATCCGCCGCCTCTCCATCCGCCACGACTACTTCTACATCAGCGACATCCACGACACGCTCGGCGGCTGGCTCACGTCCCCCGCCCTCAGCAACCTCGAGGAGATCCAGATCATCAGCTACAGAGGCCAGTATCCGCTGCCGCTGCCCGTGATCCGCTTCGCGGCGACCGTCCGGGCCGCCACCTTCGACTTCTGCCGCTTCCCCGAGGACGCGCCCCCTGCGCTCATCTTTCGGCAACTCAAAAGGCTCGTCCTCCATGACGTGACCTTCCCCAACGACGACCTCCAAGGCGTGCTCTCCGGCTGCCCTGTGCTCGAGAGCCTTCTGATTGACATTGACGTTAACCGTAGATCTGACATTGTCCGGGTGCTGATCAACTCACCATCTCTCAGGATCATCGAGAATGGCTACAGAGTTCAAGTTGTCATCCAGAATGCCCCTCGGCTGGAAAGACTCATCACATCTCGGGACTTTCGTGGTTCCTCCTACACTTGTTACACCCCGATGTTCTTCTGGGTACCCCACGCACGGAAATTGGAGATCTTGGACTCATTCAGAAGATTCAGAAAAGTGGTTCTGGAAAGCTTCAGAACAACTATGCGCGACGTGAGGGTTTTGATTCTCAAGGCTTGTAAACCTGATCTCGATGATGTTATCGACTTGCTGAGATGCTTCCCATACCTGACGAAACTGTACATCACGTCTTCTCTGCGTAAGTGTGACAAAAATTATGGACACGGTTATAACCCGCAAGATCCTATCACATGCCTTGAGCTCCATCTCACAGAGGTGGTGCTCAAGCGCTACGAGGGCAAGCAGCCGGATGTGAATTTTGCCAAGTTCTTTGTGGCGAATGCTAAAGTGCTCGTGTCAATGAAGTTTGGTGTCCACGACAGTTGCAACGATAAATGGATAGCTAATCAGCACCAACTCCTATGTCTGGATAGTAGGGCTTCTCGAGATGCTCCAATTGATTTTAGATCTGATCTTACTTGTGATGATTTTGTTTGCTATGATGTTCTCTCCGTGCCTGATCCCTTGGGTATCAGAAAGTCTTGTGAATATTGTCCACGAGGCTGACCAGGTTGCTGACCTTGTATTAGATTGTCTTGCTCGTCCTATTTTGGTGCAAACATGCCTATCGTGTGTAATTTTTTAAATCTTCTATTAGTGCAGCTATTGTGTCCTTCCATATCTCTTCATCGAATAAAGAAGCTAATTTTAAGATAATGTTTAATTTTTTGAATCTTCTTTTAGTGCAACTATTGTGTCCTTCTGTTCATCAAATAAAGAAGCTAATTTTAAGATAATGCAGTTCCATGAGTTTGCCTCTTTGATACCAGGGCATCCCCAATAATCATAAAGTGTCTTGCTAATACTCCATGTGTTCCATGTCAGTCTCCCTGATATTATAGCGCGTCTGTTAGGAGCTAGGGTTTCGCCGGTTCTAGGACAGAGATTGTAGGGGAAAGATGGAGGATGACGAGGTCGAGGGGGTGGCTGGGCGCCGTCCTTGCGTGATGGAGAAGAGGCGGCGGCGGAGCAAGAGGCAGCTAGGGTTAGGTCTCCCGGCTCCCTAAGGGAAGCCGAGCAAATACTGATTGCTTCTTGCTTGATTAGATTGATACATCTCCTCTTCTGGTCTCCCGCCCCTTGTTGATAAGATCGGGATAAAAAACTGCCCTCCCGAGTCGCCCCCGCGAGGCGACCGGGAGGCACCCCCAAATCCCCCCCGGCAGGCTTCCCGTTTCCCGTCCCTTCCCTCGCCGCCGCCACAGGGCGCGACCGGGCGAAGCCCGGCCGGTGCCGGCGGCGGCGGGGCCCCCTTTGCCTCCTCATGCAGCAGTTCTTCGCGGGCGGACGTGGCTGCTCCGAGGTGTGGTGCGGCGGCGATGGGGCATCACAGCGCGTCTCACGCCGGCGGTTCGAGGCGGCGGCAGATTGGCCGCGCGGTAGGCTATGGATGGCGGCGCATCGACGACCTCACTTCCCCGTGGCAGGAGGTCTCGCGATCTGGTGCGTTGCGGCCGCCAAGGACGGCGGCGGCGTGACCGGATCGGTTCGCGACGGCGCGGCCGGATCTATGCCCATGCGTGGGCCTTGATCGCTGGTCTGCCGTCGGCACGGTGGTGGGTGCGACTCGTCGGCAGCTGGGCAGATCCACGTGATTCTACCCTTGTCTGGTCCTTGACAGCGCGGGCAACTCCGGGGGGAAACCCCAGATCTCCTTGGGATCGAACGATGGCGGTGCTTTTGCGTCGTAGTCCCTCTTTAGGGCATTGTTTTGGAGTTTGCTCTGGTTGAAGGGACCATCGACGTCGGCGGTGCACGTCTGGTGGAGCAACTGCCGATGAAAATCGCGCCGACTACGGTCATGGCGGACGATGGCGGCGTCTTGGATGTCGTTCCCTTGTCGAGGCATCGTCATTGTAGTCTGCGTCATCAGGCTCGGGATGCTACGGGGGAAACCCTAGATCTGGGTCTTCCGGATCGGACGATGATGGCGTTTTATCGCTTTCCCTCCTGAGGGCATCGTTTTGGAGTAAGTGCTGGCTGGGGGGATGGTGGAGCGGTGCTTCATCTCACACATTGATGGCGACGGATATCGGCGGCATGGCGCTGTGGAGGCTCGGCGTCCGATGCACAGAGATGGACTCACGCAGGAGGAGGTTGTTGTCCGGCGTCATGGTGACATCGATGGCAGAGTGGCCAGACAAGGTAGAAGCCTCAATATGATCTGAAGACGGACCTGTGGAAGATGGCGGCGACGACACACGAGTGCGTCTGACCGGATTGTGCCCCAGACCCGGTATGTGGCTCGGCTGGGGCTTCCGATTGAGTTTCGGCTTCCGGCTTTTGATGTTAGGCTTAGATGAGTGGTTTGGGTAGTGACCCAACTAGCACCCCTTCATCATTTTGGATAGGAGTAGTGGCATATGCTGCCAAGATGGTGGATTCAGGCACATTGTTGTAATACTTTGTAAGGTCCTCAAGAATAATCAATAAAATGGTCGTATGCATCTTCCAGATGCAGAGGCCGGGGGTCATCCTCCTTTTAAAAAAAATACATCTCCTCTCCTTATATAAAGAGGTTTACTTGACTCCTAGCAAACGACCCTAATAATGATAAGATAATTGGGCTAAGCCCCTAATAACGATAAGATAACTTGGGCCACAGCCCACTGGGCTAAGCCCCTAATATGCTGGTCATACCAGCATCCCAAATGATCGAGTACATAATTGTTCTAAACATCCATGTTGGAGAGAGATACCACATCAGAAAGGATGCTATCATGGAAGAGATTGAGCTAGTTTCATATGTCCTTTGGTAGTAGGTGCATTGGACCCGACACTAAATTTCACAAATCTGGAAAGGGTATATTAAGTACCTTCTGCTAGCTAACCCTTGTCAACTGAAAGTTGTTGATTATGCACTGTCGGCCTGTCACGTGAACATGCAGGCTGCTTTGGCTTTGCAAACAAACATAAACGGACATGGAGTTTGTTGTAAAAGGAGTCTCAATGTCTCATGATGTCTTGATAACAGCTATGGAAAGTAGATGAAGAACAAGTTTGTGAATGTGTGATAATATTTCTTTGGTATTTGCATTCACACGGTTGCCGCCTTCGCATACCCACCATTGGTGGAGAGTGTATCCTGTGCAGCAAGAGTTGTTGTGCTACCGGTACACCAAACATCAAAACTTATGTTATGACTTCTAAAAACAATTAAGTATATTATGACTTGTACCACGTTATGTGTAACATACATTAGATCATCATTGCATATCATATTTTGTTGCATTTTGGCTTGTCC